GAGTATAATGCTTAGCGAAATAAGTCAGAGAAAGCAAATTATTATATGATATCACTTATATGTGGAATCTAAAAAATAATACAAATGAATCTATACACGAAAGAGAAATGGATTCACACACAGAAAACAAACTTATGGTTACAAAAGGGGAGAGGTAGAAGGGGAGGGATAAATTAGGAGTATGGGATTAACAGATATAAATTACTATACATAAAATAGGTAAGCAACAAGGATTGACTGTATAGCACAGGGAATTATACCCAATATATTTCAATAACCTATAATGGAATATAATCCGCAAAAAAAACCCCAGTTGCTATGCTATACATCTGAAACTAACACAATATTATAAATCAACTACACTTCAATAAAAAAAAAAAGAAAGGGGCTCCTGGAAATCACATCTCCCACCTGAACCCTGGCCAGAGCTGGGAGAGCAAGGGTGCCAAGAATTTGAGTGAGTTAGAGACAAGCTGAGGATGTGGAGCCAGGCTTGGCCAGAGGAAGGGTGCTGGGACCAGTTGGAAGAAAGGTCACCAGAGGGGCTCCCCCCAGCCTAGTTTTGTTATTATCATCGCGTTGGCTGTTGTCCATGATCCAGCTCCTCTCCTTCCTCTTGTCTCATTGTGTTTGCCCACCTGCTCCTATCGAGACCCCGTGTAGCTTGGAGACGTCAGCCAGTTCCTACTCCCCTGGAAAAAGATGTCTTCTGAGACCCCCTAGAGTGGGCACAGGAAATCTCCCTTCAATAACTAACAGCTACTGTTTATCGAGTACCTGTTGTGGCCCAGACACTGCACTAGGCAATTTGCATGTATCATTCCTGTAATTTAATTCTCCCAGTAAGCCCATGAGTAAGCACTGTTTTCTTGATTTTAAGGAAATTAAAGCTCAGGAGATTGTCTCTTGTGCTGGGTCACCCAGCTTTATTAGAAGTGGAGCTGGGATTCTAAACCAGGTCTTTTCTTCTCTGTCGTATCTGCTATTTCCAGCTGCGTCCCAACCAAGAGTTCTTATGATGCGTCATCCCTGGGGCCTCGGGGAGCCGGGAGCCCTTCAGCCAGGGTGGGGGGCCGATGTAGGCAGAACATGTGCAAAACTTCCTAGGGTCCCCGGGACGTCTCCTGCACGGCCCACAAGACAGTGCCCCATCCAGGGGGCTCAGCACTCACCACCAGGTTCCCCAGAACCATCACAGTCAAGAAGAGGATGAGGCAGATGGATTTATCACCGACTTCCATGCAGGCCCACATGTTCTCGATCCACTCTCCACAGAGGATCCGGAAGACGATGAGGAAGGAGTGGAAGAAGTCATGCATGTGCCAGCGCGGCCAGTCTTCGTTGGGCGCAGAGATTTTGTGCCGGTTTTTCTTGTAGTTGTCCCCAAGGAGCTGTTTGCCAACCAGGGCGAAGACAAAGACGATGATGGCCAGGATGATGGTGAGGTTTCCCAGAGCACCCACTGAGTTTCCAATGATCTTAATGAGCGTGTTTAAGGTTGGCCAGGACTTGGCCAGCTTGAAGACCCGCAGCTGCAGAGAAATGGAGACTGTGTCAGGTCCTGGAGGCTGCTTTCATCACCTTTCATCTCAAGTCTTAGCCAGAAACCAAAGGTGTGGGAAAAGCAGGTGGCAGCTCATTCCATTAACATGGGTTGATCCCGGGAAGCTGCTTTCAGAGAACTTTCTTCCTATGTCACCAGTTACTCAAAAATATGACCAGCCCTCTATGGTCCCTATGCACTCCACTGTCTGTAGCAAAGTCAGGAGTCTCATACTGGCATGGGGGTCTTGTGACATGTACTCTGTTCTGTAGCCACAAGCCTCCTGAATGTGGATCTATTCTGTGGAGTGGAGTAGGGTATGATGGAGCTCACAAATGTGTGAAAACAGCCCACTTTTGACCTGCAGAGAGGCTAGCCTCCTGCATGTGGGGCATGATCCACTGCATTTGAGAGATACTGGCTAACCATCATCTTAGGGCATTTTTCATCTGGAGGGCAGACAACATCGGTTGTCCTAATCAGCTCTGAAATGGCAAGTATGCGTGATTTCATGGAACTGGGATTCGTCAGTTTGTTTAATTGACCAATCTACCTATTTTGTTGAATGCCAGCCAGGCATGTGCATGGCACTGTACTAACCTGTGAGGTATATGGGGAGAGGTACGTGGGCTTCTACCCTCATGGAACTAATGGTTTAGTTACAGAGACAAGGCAAAGACTCAAAGTCTTCATTGTCAACCCAAATGTGCTAAGTCCCACAAGAGAGCAAAAGAGATGTCTAAATATTAAAAAAAATACATTTGTGTAGTTCTCTAATTTGTTAGAAAGAAACATGTGAGCTTAGCGATCATGGATGGGCTAATTTACGGAGTACTTACTAAGAGCCAGGCTCTGGCCAAGGTGCTAGGATGCCATGCTGGACAGAACAGCAGTTTAATCTTCCAACACAGCAATGAGTAAGTCCCAAGGGAGGAGATTTAATCCTCTTATTCAGGAAGTTCCATATCCATTTTCTGATGTGATTGGGGAGGTGGTCTATGTTTCCTTTAGATCTAACATGGAACTTACTTTAATGAGGATGCTTTACTTTTAGAATAGAATGCAAGGTAAGTCTAATAGCTGTCCTCTACTGGGGAGGTCACCACTTGATGGTGAAATGAGCCTTACACTTGTGAAGAGTATCAGAAGACAGAGTAATAAGGTAGACTACACTGGGTCCCCCGTGGGTTCCACTTTCCATCAAAAAGTTACTAAAAATGCTAGGTAATAAAATCTTAAGCACATTGATGATATGTCAATAAAGTAAGTAATTCTTTAGCCAAAAATTAAGTGACTATGGGAATTTAGAAATATAAACAGATTGCTGAAGCCAGCTTTTTCTCTGAAGACATTTGCAAAACTGAGTGAATCTGAGCATACGTTTTAATGGCCTCACGAGGCATAGCAAGCAGGAAACACATCCAAGGGCCTGCCTAAGGTAGAGAGTAAAACAGGAATTTCTACCCCCTGCCCCATTAAGCTAGATTCCATAAGAAGTATCTCTCAAGACAAGGGCAAACTGAGTGGCAAATTTTAGATAAAACTGAGAGAGGTTACTGCCAGAAGGCATTCACTAAAAGACATTCTAAATGATGTCCTTCAGGCAGAAAGAAAGTGATCCCAGAAGGATGGTATTCTATGCAAGAAGGTATAAAGAGCAAGGAAGGGCTAAGTATGAGACTGAATCTAAACAAACACTGAATGGACACAACAATAAAATCTCATGGGGCAGGGCAGAGCCTGGCTATATGGTCCCCATTCACATTTACTCATCTCAGACACAAAAGAAGACTTTTCCAGCTTTACTTGCAAATAGTTGTGGTCATATTATTGGATTCCGGCTGATGGAGTAGAGATGGGGATGGAAGTAACATACACTACTTTCAGGCAGAGCCATAAAACGCCATGCACTTTCTCCTCCCCTCCCATGGCTGCCATAGAGGCCACCCACTGAAGATGGTGACATCACATCATCCTGGATCCCTGAGTCACTACTTGGAGTGGACACATCAGGAAAGCTTCCCAACCAGCACTGAGTATGTTGCAAAACATAAACCTTTATTATATTAATTCACAGATTTAGAGATTGTCACTGCAACTACTTGTACTTATCCTGAGTAATGTAGCAATTAGTACACTGAAGAGAGCCATTGCCATATCAACATTATCAAATGCATGACACTGGCTTTGTGATTACATGGTGGACAACAGGGAAACTGATATAAGGAGGATTGGAAAGTGGTGATGTGTGTTGTGGTGGCAAAATGATTGCCTGCAATAATTCTGGGGCAGATCGTGAGCCAGCAGCCCTAAGGAAAGGGTCTATAAAACAGAACCTTAGCATCGTGTGTCAGTTGTAATTGGCTACGTTTGTCGAGATTGCTACAAGAATGAGATGAGCTCAGGGACTATTGGCTGATTGATAAGAAACAAGAGGAAATAGAATCCAGAAGTTTAGAGTCTTGAAGGTTTAGGGAAGTACACTGCTTTAGATCTCCAAGAGCAACCAAAGGGATGAAATCTTTATGTGTTGAAGACCAGTTAGACTTGTCAATGAAATGAAGCAAATCTTAGTGAAGATCATATTAATGGTATAGCTGCCATTTGAGAGAAAAAGGCATGGAGACAAGGGGGGAAAAAAAGCAGAATTGAGAACCTTGTTAAAGAAAGCAGTCTGGGTGTATAGCACACAGAGGGGTCTGAAGACATCTCAGTTTTGGAGGTCCTGTACTGCAAAAGAAACGATGGGCCCTGACTGAAAAAGCCTCTGACTGTGTAAACTTGGCCATCTTTCTACAAGCAGGAGGCAAACTTTGAAGGTCGTGCAGGTCTTCTTCATATGTGGCATAGTCCCATCTAAAAGGAGTCCCACCTAGAGCTGACTGGCTTGCATCAGACTATGATGTGAGTATGGAATAAACCTTTACTGGGGTAAGCTGCTGAATTCTGGGTATAGTTTGTACAAACTCGGGATTATTTATCATTGATTAAGTCACATAGCTTTTTAAAAACAAGATAAAATGAAAATACTTAAGACAATAGTTGGAAAAGGGTAACTGGAATAAGAAGTTGTCCTGGAAAATAACAGTATTACCTAGATTTTGACTTTGATTAAGTTAACTATACATGCTGTCATTTCTAAGGTAACCTCTCAAAGAATAAAAACAGAGTATTTAGTTTCAAATCAATAAAAGAGGAAAATGGAACAGGGGAAAACAAATAGTCCAAAGTAAATCTATAAGAGAGAGAGAACAAAAATACTAGAACAGAGGAAGGAAATAGAGAACCCAGAATACAATGATAGAACACATATCCAAATATATCAGTATTCGCAATAAAATAAGTGGATGAAATGCTTTGGTTAGAAGACAAAGAGTAGATTGTCAGAACTGAATAAGAATCCAAAATCTGACCGTATACTATTTATAACAGACATATAAAAACCCTAAAGATACACAAAGGCTGGAAGTAAAAGGATGGATAAAGATATATCAGGCAAATTCAAAACTAAAAGAAAACAGAGTTGTTTAATTAATATTAGGCAAAAGAAATTTTTTAGGGCAAAAAAAGTTCTCTAGCGATAAAAACAGTCAATTCTTACGGATAAAAGTTTCACTTTAATTACTGGGAAGATGTAATAACTTAAAATATGTATGCATTTAATAACATAGCCTCAAGATAGAACCACAAGGGAAAACAGACCATGCCATAATCAGAGTGGGAGATATTTTTGTACACTACCATCTCAGTAATTGCTAAAACAAGTAGACAAAAATAAGCAGGGTTATAGAATATTTGGACCACACACTGAACTTTCTCTATCCAATGGATATACATGCAGGGTACTACATTCAACAGCTGCAGAAGACACATTCTTTTCAAGTGCATAGGAACATTTTCACTACACTGAGCCAAAAGAAAATTATCAATAAATTTCAAAGCTTTAAAATCATACAGTGCATGTTCTCTGAGTATAATACAATTAAGCTAGGCCTTGGTGGCATAAAGATAACTAGACATACCACGTAACATTTCAAAATTAAGAACCAGGCTTCTAATTAACCTTTGAGTCAAAGAATAAATCAAATTTGAAATTAGGAAAAATTTAGAGCCAAACAATATGGAAAATTCTACATATTACAGCAGTTCTTAGAAGGCAATTGAAGTCTTAAATGAAAATACTGGAAAAGAAAATAGGTTGAAAATTCTATCTAAGAAGTTAGAAAAGAATAAAATATGTTGAACGGAGGATGTAATTAAGATAAGATGCAGGATTAATTGAAATAGAAAACATCAATGAAGTAGAGAGGATCAACAAACTGAAAGTTGGTTCTTTGAAGAGACTAATTAAATTGACGATCTTTGGCAAGACTAATAAAAAGAGACGGGAGAAAGCAAAAATCACTACTTTTAAAGAAAGAAAAAATACCGTAAGTATAGGTGATAGCATTAAAAGATAACGGCACAGCATACACAACTTTATGCCAATCAACTCAAAAATTTAGATAAGAAGGAAAAATTTTTAGAAAAATATAATTTACCAAAACCAATTTGAGAAATAGAAAATCTGACTAGTTTCACAACCATCAGGAAAATTAAGTCAGTAATGAAAAATCTTGACCTCCAGATGGCTTAATTAGTGAATTCTACCAAACTTACAAAGAACAAATCAGTCCAATCTTACCCAAAGATTGGGTGGAGAAGAAGATGAACACTCCTCACCTCTTTTTATGGAGATTAGCATAACTTTGATAACTAAATACCAAAACCTAGCAAGGAAGATGCAAATAAGGAAAACCACAGGCCAAATATTACTCATCAATATGGATGCAAACATTAAAAAAACTATTAGCAAACTTAATCTAACAATGTATTAAAAGTGTATCATGATCAACTTGGGCTTATCCCAGGAATGCAAAGTGGATTTAACATTAGGAAATCAATTAGTATAATTCACTACTTTAACAGATTAGAGAAAACCATGTGATTATCTTAATCATGCAGAACAATTATCTGATAAAATTAAACATCCATCCATGATTAATATTCTTGACAAAAGAGAATTTCCCTAAAGTGATAGAGGCTTTTTTTCTTTTAATCTTAAAAAAAAAAACCTGCCACAAATATCAGACTTGCTGAAATGCTGAAAGCATTTTCTTTGAGATCAGGAAAACAGCAAGGATGTCTGCTATTAACACTTCTTTTCAACAGTGTACTGAATGTCCTACGTAGCACAGTAAAGTAATAAAAAGAACCAAATGGTATACGGATTAGAAAAGAAAAAACAAAACACATCATTTGCATATGATGCGATTGTGTTAACGAATGTAAAAGATTAAATAGATAAATCATTAGAATTAATAACAGAGGTATCTGGATAGAAAAACATTAAATGACAAAATCTAGCAAAAAAAAAACACTCAGAAAAGGCCATTGAAAAAGAGATTTCATTTAAAATAGCATAATGAACTATGGAATATCTAGGAATAAACTTAACAAAATATGGAGAAAACCCGTATGGAGAAATTATAAAATGACTGAAAGACTGAAGTAAGTGGAGGGTATGCCATGTTCAGGGATCCGAAGACTGCGTAACATAGGGGATACATTTCTTCCCAAAGTGATCTAAAGATTATTGCAGTCACAATAGGAAAACAAAACAACAATTCTGTGTGTATGTCTGTGTGTCACTTGGCAAGTTGATTCTGAAACGAATACAAAGTGCAGGGGCCACGATATTCCTGAAAAAATACAGCAAGGTGGGTGACTTGACTTACAGACACTGGACGTATTCAAGGCAATTGCAGTCATGGAGACAGTGCAGTACTGGTACCAGGACAGATCAATGGGATTAATGGAGCCAGGCTTTAAATGATGGGGAGGGAAGCGATGCTATTTTGAGAGGAAGGAAAAAGTAAGAATGAAGACACAGACTTTTCCTTCCTTCCTTCTTTCCTTTTTTCTTCCTTTTTCCTTTCCTTCCTTCCTTCAATCAACAGGAGTTCCTAGGATGTGCTAGGCCCTTGGGATAGAATGGTAAACCATCCTGAAACATGAGGCTAGTAGGAGGCAGTTTTTGAGGTGCGTGAGACATCGGGGCTGTGATCTGGGGACCCAGGGAATGACCTCCTTGGGGCAGGAGGAGCTGGGACTCTGTCAGGCAGCCTGGCTTAGAGATGCAGGTCTGAGGCTCACTCAGCAGCGTGGAGACTTTGAGCCATCGTTTAGCCACCATGTCTCAGTTTTCCTCGTCTGCGGGGACAGTAAAGGCAACACTGTCAAGGGTGATGGAAGCATATAGTAAGGTATGTTGTGTCGAGGGGTTAGCTCTGTGTCCGACGCGCTGTCAGAGCTCAAGAAACCGTAGCTGCTATGACGGTCGGTCGTTGTTACTGATAAGAGAACAAGAGGGTGCTGGGAAGTCCCCTCTTGGTGCAGATGAGGGGCCCCAGGTCTGGAGAGGAGAAGGCCGGCCCTCACTTTGAGTAAGTGGAAAAGCACCAAATTTCCAGGTCCCAGGAGCCATGCCCTGCCTCCTCCTACAGGGACTGGAGAGGAAGAGAGAGCTGGCTGGTAGGGTCCCCAAAGGACAGTCTGTTCCGGGGGAGCCTGCCTGGATGTGGTTTCCCCAACTCGCCAAGGGAGCGCATTACCAGGCGGAAGGTCCGCAGCACCGTCAGACTCCCCTTCCTAGCTGTGCCCAGTTCTATCAGGCTCACGGTGACGATGATGCAGTCGAAGATGTTCCACCTCTTCTGGAAGTAATAGTAAGGGTCGAAGGCTATGATTTTGAAGACCATTTCAGCAGTAAATATCACGGTAAAGACCTATGGACAGAAACAGGGATCCATCTCAGCTTGGTCTGTGGAGTCAGGGGACAATGACAAATAGGGTGGGGGCGGGAGAAATGTCCTGTTTATAAAACAGCAACTCCTTTTAGTTTGTTTTTATTCGGTTTCCATGTTATCTGCGGGCTCCTGAAGGACCAGAGATGGGAACGCTCAATGTGGCAGCATAGAGAAATCTCTGGACCAGGGCACAGGGAATACACATTACTCTGGATCAGGGCACAGGGAATACACATTTCCGTGCCTCAGTTTCCCTATGGATGGTGTTAGACATGGAGTAAGCAGATAACCATTAGGATAATAATTATATAATTATATGAATGAGAACTCAGTCTGGTTCAGTAGTTTAAAAGCAGAGATTGTGGGGCAACACAGACCCAGATAAAAATCCCAACTCAGCCATTTCCTAGCTTGTATAAGCTTGGACAAAGAGTGCATCCTCTCTACCTCAATTCCTTCATCTGTATAATGGGCTTAAAATGAGATAATGCATATGCACTTCTTAGCAAAGGTCCTGGCAGATAGTACTTCATTAATAAGTAATAGCTATTAGCAAGAACAATAATAGTACATTGTCTCAAGTTTCTTTCAGCTCTGAGTAGCCTAAATGGTCTTCAACAGGGCAGAATTCTGACACTGAGAGAGGTCAGGACCAGGCTCAGGTCACACAACAACCAGCAGGGAAGGGAGACAGGCAAGGAAGAAACCAAAGACCAGGGTCAGGCAATTTTTTCTCATTTGCTTTCATCCAAGCCTCTCACCAGCCTGGGAAACAGAGGCAGTTGCAACCCTTTTGCAGAGAAGGATATGGCTGAGAGTTTAAGTGACTTGCCTGATGCCGCAAGGCTGCAACTGTCTGAGAGCCCTTTGTGGGCAAATCAGTGTGATGTGGTGGGTGGTGGGGGTGAGGTCCTATGCCCTAGACAAACTGGGGTCACCTCTGGCTCCACCTTCACCAGCTATGCCACCTTGGGCAGGACACTTAACCTCTGAGTCTTAATGCTCCCTTCTGGGCTGTGAGGGTGGTGATAATTTCATAGGATTGCTGTGATACTGAGACGACACTTCCAAAGCACCTGACTTGTAAGCACCACACAGCGCTTGCCTTTCTTCCTTTTTTAAAAATGGCACTGTGCTCTGTCACAGCGGTCAAGCCTTTGGTCTTTCTTGACTCAACGTCTCCAACTATAAAGTGTGGGGTGGGCTCCAAGGTCCCTTCCATAAGACTCTCTGGGATCGATGATGACTTCTTGGCAATAAGCTCTCTCTTCGCTTTCCATTTCCCCTTTTCCCACACAGAACGTGATCTCTTAGCCTAGATGCTGCTGAAACATATGACATGCTGGCTCCACAGTGTCCAGAACACAGTGGCATCCTTGGATTCTGGGGGAGGCGGGGAGGTTCATAGAGAAGAGTAGTCACACTTCCTGTGGGACCCTTCCTTCTACCTTAGCCACCTACAAGGAGTCAGAAGAGCTGGATGTCCTGATAGGCCTAGTAAGCCAGCTGTAGGGCGATGGCCACTGGTGTGGACGTGGAGGCAGGACCCTGACCTTCCTAGCTTCTGCTTTTCTTGTGTGCATGTGCGTACACACACATACACAACACACACAACACAAACACTCTCTCTGTCACAAACACACACACACACACACACACACACACAGAGCAGTAGCTCTTGTGAGGGAATTTAGCCCAGGAGTTGAAAAGGGTGAACTTCAGAGCCAGTTGGCCTGGTTTCAAATCATAACCCTGCCACTTACCTCTATGAACTTGGGCAAATTAACCTCCCATGCCTCTGTTTTACCACCTGTGAAAGGGCATAGTAATAGTGCCTGCCATACTAGGTTTTTGTGACAATAAAATGAGATAACCTGAGAGAAGCATCTGAGACCATGTCCGGTCTTGAGTAGGTGTCACTGTTACTGTTCCTAAGGGGGCTGAGGACAGATGTTCTGCCTCCGAGTCAGATACTTTACCCAGCATGCGGTGAAATCCAGGATGGATTTTACCTTGTTAAAAGCAAATAATACTAAAAAATAATGGAGGAAAATTTAAAGGAGCATCATATCTAAACCAGAAAAGAAAAAAGTTCTGACTCCCTGATGCCTTTATTACAACACCAACCACGTTCTCACGTTCCCTCCTTATTATCTTCCTTTCCCTCCCTTCCCCTTTCTGCCCTTAAATGACAGCTTTGAAAAGCCAGAGCC